TATTCGAGAAAAAAAGATATTTTGGTTTATTTCTTTATTGAGGGCTTCATGCATGTCAGCTGCAACCCGCTTCATTCGACCACTCTCTTGGGTCTTGCTTATTGCTGGGCCAAGACCTAGAGATGGCCTTTGCTTGTTTTCAGGTAGAGAACCTACCGGTAGAAGGAAAAGTAGTGTGTGTTTTTTCTTTTCCATTAGTGTCCATTATGATATTCCTCTTCACTTCTTTTCCTCATGGCGTCGTGTATGGATCGAGACCCTGCAGCAGTGGCACATCGTAGGATGAAACATAGCGGATCCGTCTTCAAATATGCACCTCTCGAACTCTGTTCCCAATGATGTCGTATGTGGATCGAGAAACTATAGCCACACGGCAGCGGAACAACACACACGCATGACGTGTGCTATAAGATCCTGGTGCACCGAAGCCATTTGCTAAATGAAATTTATGTCCTACTACCTCCGTCCTGATTTATTGGTCCCGTTCGCATTTTGTGCTTAATTTTGACCTTAAATTTAACTAATAAAATGTTAAAGCATGAAAAAAAATCACTACAAACTATATTCAAATACGAATCAAATGATATGATTTTTTTATGACATGCATTATTATTTTCTTAATTAAGTCTATCGTGAAAGTTTGGCGTAAAATACTAACAGGACCAATAAACTTGCAGATGGATGGAGTAGTTAGTACTAATACATTGTTATTTACTCAAACACGTTATTATCATATAAACTAAATCAATACATCATTATAATGTTAAACTGTGACATGGAGAACAGAGTAAGAAAAGGCGGTTTATCGCCCGTCCTGCACTGCCATATGTACTGTCAGATTGGTATACTTTAGGCTGGCCATAGTGAAGGTAACATAACCGGTAACATGTATTTGGGACTAGCAAACATGCTTAATTAAAGAAGAGAGAGGGTTAGAGTAACATAGGTAGATACCATATCATGTTAAATGCTATACTACTTTGTGTCATGCATGGCAATAAATATGGTCAGCTATGATACTATTTTATGATACTATGCACTATGAAGGTAGTATCATATACTAGTATCATATGCATGATACTAGTATATGATACTCCTCACTATGAGTAGCCTTAGGCTAGTTGTAATGGGGAGTATCATATAAAAGTATCATGCATATGATACTACATCTGTAATGCATAGTATCATGTGTTGGTATCATAGATGACTACATTTATTGCCATGCATGACACAAAATAACACATCATTTAATATGATACGTTATCATAAGAACATGATTAATAAGAAAGCCGTTGCTGGCTATATATGAGTGCCATGTCACATAAAGCCTTCATAAAAGCCCACCAGTACAACAGATTAGCTATAGTCTAGCTATTGGTATTTAATGTTTGCAAGTGGGGAAAGGCAAAGAGAGACATGTGATTGGTGAGAAGAGAGGAAAGTCGGCTCACAAGACTGCATGCAGAATTCTTTTTCTTGTTTCTTGTGCTGGAGCCGGCGCTAGCTGAATCGCCCGCCTCCTTCTCTTTCCTTCATTCTCTCTCCTCCAGCAATGACTTTGATGACGTGGAACAACATATAGCCAGCTGACTAGGACTTATTGTACTTGCTCTAATATGATACTCAAGCCTCTCTTTCTTCATTTAATTCTATGCCACATCATCAAAATTGCTTAGTTGGCATGCATGATACTACCTATGATACTCCCATTATGGGCAGCCTTAGTAATCAAGCACACCGTCGTAAATGCACTCAATTCCATGACCGGTCACTTGTATTAAT